TGCTTGTCACGCTTTCTCTTTCGTTATGTCCTTTTGCCTAGGACGTAAGACCTTGCGCAGCACGTAGCCCTTCCACACAAGGAGAAAGGTTACCGGCGGGAACCATGTGGAGGTAGCTGCTCGGAACTATGACTCGTGCCAACCTAATCGTGTGCACCACTACGATAGGAGGACTTTCACGTAAGTTCTCTGGTTCAATTTCCTCGCGTTACCGTTCAGAATCGCCAAAGAGAGTCATAGTTAAATTAGTCGAACCTCCTAGAATCAAGAATGTATCTAAGGTCCTGGATACGGTAACTCTTAGACTACAGCTGTATTTTGAGGTGAATGCCGCTAAATAATTCAGTAAGTTCGGCATTTACCTCTGCATGGGTGAAAATAATCAGTTACCTTCAAAAAAAGGCTAATTCATACACAGAAAATTGAAGTCGTTAATCCATTGAAATCAGTAAACATCCAATGAAATTAACAAATGGCCAATCCTAATACAAATAAAATAGGAATAGCATTTAAAGTGAAACAAGCACATTCAAGGGTTAACTGCAGCTGAAGGCAACATCGTTTACAATAAGGGGAGTAATTATAATTACAACTAAGTACATTACCTTTTGTTACATTTACAGCACAAAACTTGCACGAAACAAGAATTTTAAAATGGAAGCAAATACAACTGTGCTTTCTGAAGGCAAAAAGCAAACTGACAATAAATTTTACAACAAACCTTTATGGACCTCAAGCTGCAAAATCTGCAAAGCTCAATCAAGACAATATAACAGACTGTTACTGTTAAAAAGTTGCTAATATAAAAGTTACGACACTTTTAAAAAGACTGCATTGTTTTCCAGGTTAACAAATGCGGTACGCCATTCGTTCATACCATAAATTACTGGCTGACGCGGTTAAAATAAATTAATCTCATTGAAAGCTCGTTTCCAAAAAAATACTACGCAATATTTATAACAACGCGGATGGCTACAGACGCGGAATGCCGAGCGTTCTACGTATAACAATAGAGCACCCTTGGTGGGTGGAACAGTTTTAATCTGGCATCATTGACACAGACTATTGTAAATGTTCTGTTATATATTATGACCATAAATCTCTTCAGAATCTCCAAGTTTTTGTCTTCAAGTTTTGTAGGAAACTGATCTTTGCAAAAATACCAGATATATTATCAAAGACATCCCAAATTCTCCAGGCGGACTTCTCGATTTTGCCATGGAATGAACCTACAACATCACATCCTGTAAAAGCATGGAAGGAGGGTAGTCCCATGTCTTTCTCTGGCCCTATGGCGCTAGGAATGTCATGCACTGGTATCTTTTTACCTGTACCAAAGGCAACCCATATAGTCTCACGCCCAACATCTCACAAATACAGAAATTGTGATAATTATAGCAGTGATAACAATATCGGTATCATTTGTATTGATTAAAAGTATCTTGCAGCCTCCCCATGGAGTCAACTTATCGACTGATGTCTGTGTTGCTAAGTACGTTGTCTTCCTTTGGGATATTAATGGTTGAAGGCATGTTTACCATCGTTGCTATGTTGTCTGCTGTGATAGAGCCCTTGTTTATTTTGTCGAATTCCTGAGGAAATTTCCCCAGTTTATTGAGACCATGTTATCTCCTGATACTCGTCTCCTAATTCCTTTGCCCCTCTTAGATCTACTTTCGGCCTTTAAACTGGTTTGTTTGTACACATCAAACACAATGTCAGTTAATTAATCGGTTTTGTACCTTAATTACCGTTAATTACACACTACCCTATTTTTGCTATGGACGTTAACTTTCAAAATTACAATGTCAATTCTTGTGTGTTTATTAGTGAAACATACCACTGCAGGAAGTATGACATCTTTGGCATATTCATGAAATGTACTTCAAGTGTTTCTCCGTGTAACGTATTCACTAGCATTGATCCATCTATGATAATACCATCAGCTTATGGAACGACTGTAATGGTGTGACTTTTTCTTCAAGTATTTCTACGAGTTGTGCCTTTCTACATGTATTTAGTTAGTATCATTATTTGACTAATATTAGTTAATATTTGCATGATCGGTGCCATCTTAAATTTCTTAAGTGACCACCGTTTTCATATAAAACAAAAACCACTACTATGCAGGGATTGACGAGCTCGAACAATATTCCCGGCGCTCCAATTTGAGGATTCTTGGTCCTTAAAGAGGGTAAAGGTGAAGATGTCGGACCAGTTGTAATCGATCTTATCAAGGCTAAGCTACACGTAGATATTGGACCTAATGCCATTGATTGAGGTCATCGACTACCTACAAAGAATCCTAACAAACCACGTCCTATCATAATAAAATTCGTATGTCGCCAAACTAAAGACTTAATTTTCGTCGCTACTCAAAGGTACCAAGAGTGTTATAACTAAGGATCTTACGGAGTTGAGGGCGCTGCTGGTGAACGATGAAGAAGAAATGTTCTCTAATCGAAATACGTGGAGTAACAATGGATTTATCTATATTAGGAATAAAGGTGATATATTCAAAGGTGATATGGGCAATGTAACCAGCTGAATAGGTGAGGGTCGTGTGTGAAGTGTGCAGTTATCGATGACATTTACATACGTGTTCCTTCAAGTCATTTTTGGAAAAACTCCTTTATTTTTCTTTTTATCAATAACAATTTAGTTAGTGGTTCTAGTCTGTGATGAATTAAAAAAAAATCTATTCGAGCCAACAAATCAATGAAAATAATTAGATGTTTAAAATATCTGGGGTCATTTTACTAAAAAACGAAATGAATATTTTTATACTGGATTAGTCTAGTCTTTTGTTTTCATGCCCAGTCCTGAAATATAAAACCGCCCCTCGTAGTATCTAATTTGGTATATTATATGACAACGTAAATTTTGTCAAAAATATATCAAAATAGTATTTATGCTCTGAATTTGATTGAGTAGGCGCCCAAACGTATTAACTCATTGTCCAAGAAACGAATGCTCACTTGATGATCGTGAGCCATCAAAATCGCTGTGTACGCGAATTTGATTGTCAATTTTTTATTATGAAAAACTAATTTGCATAGATGAACAAAATTGCAAAGATCTCTGCTCAAATATTTGCGGCAAATCATTCAAGAGACATCTATTTATTTAAAGCAACAAAAATGCCGCAATTTAAACAGTAAATTTATTTACACTGTTCGATCTATAAAATGGGAGATGTGACCGTGGAGTTCAAAACGTTTGAAAAAAGTAAATTTACAAAGTTTCACTTTAGAAACTAAAAGAACTGTTTACTTATTAATCTCTCTGACTTTTAGCTGCGTGCATCGCCGACACTGAAACATGTGGATATAAAATTTTAAGCTTTTCCTTCGCTTTCCTAATTTTGTTTCCTGACAAGTATTAAGAACTCTGACCATATTAGGCCAGGTCGATCTGTCGACGAGTGACATTGTAGTATTATTTTTGGTCCATCGTAATTTTTTAATTGTGACAACTTTTCATAGTTTTCGTTTTTTATTCAGTATTTTTTTGGCGAAAATATTGGAAATCGCCCACATTTAATAGCTGTATTTCCCATACGACAGAAACGAGTGTAGTTAAAGTACGGAATTAAGAGTTTTCTAAAATCCGCGTCTATTTCCAAAAAAAGCACGTGCATTTATTAAGTTGACTGATATGAATTCCCTCGTCCTCTCGTCTTCATTACAATACGTCTGCAATCCCCCTTTAACATTTATCATTCAGCTTTTCTTACATTGTACACATCGCTTTTTCTTCCGACGACACATTTTTCTATTCTTTTCTCTGCTCCTGAAATATTTTACTCCCTAGAGAAAAGCCCGTGCTAAAAGTCGTCGAGATAAATTCCGAACTCATTCCCTGGGCGGCTCCTTCCTCATTGAAAATTGACTAAATCTCGTACAACTATTTCATACGGGAGAAATTATGTGTTGTAACTGATTTTATTCTATGTGAATGCCGTTATTCATCAACACAATGAGAAGGCAGCATCTAGGAACCAGAGTTCTATTATGTTATAATGTTGATATACAATTCGGAACCACGTAAATTCTATGCAAAGTGTAATACTCGAGGTCCATTATCTTTTAACAATCCACGAAGTAGCAAATTTCTGGAATAGCGAGTGGTGACGTTGTAAAACATCGTGTGGTTACAAACTGCTTTGAACATGCGCAAGAAATCGCGCTTCGAAAGACTAATGATTATGGCACCCACAAAATTGCTTCATAATTTTCTATCGCAACCTTTCCGCTATCAATTCAAAAGCGACGGAAAGCCCAAGGTTCTATACTTCAATAACCTTACGAATGGGAAAATTACGCAAAAAATCGATAATTAATGTCTGTCTACCACGACATCGCTCGTGAAAAGTTTTATTACATTGTGCTACGTAATTTTCCTTTATAACCGATTTAGGAATCGTTATAGGGTATTATGTGAAACTAAATTAAATTCATAACTATTTGCTTGGAATTTATTAATGCATACATAGAATTTTTATAAGGAGAATAGATCTTAGAAAATAGCTCGCAAACATTTATTATTCCGATGTCTATCTTTGTGTTTCTTTTAGATTAAGTACCATAAAGCTGCATGCGAAAAGTGCCATGAGAATCAAAAAATACAATTTTTCAGCCTGAAATATTTCATGGCAGTTTCTTTTAATATTCAGGTCACGCTGCACAAGAGCAGAGGGAAGCTAATAAATAAACTCATTCATAATTTAGATAGCTACACAAAAACTTTTGTCTGTACTGCGTCGAACTAATTAATTGATAAATAGTTGCACACTATTAATTAATACTGTAAATTGAGTCGAAACCCGTGTACCGAAAATGAAGTAATAAATTATTTTGCAGGTACCCCACCTATCTCTGGCATACACTAAATTCTAACACGTTCAAGATAAATTAATTTCCCATTTAAAGTTAAAATATCACATTTGGATGGAATGTGAAGGAATTTTAAAATGTGCTAAGTTAGTTAATGCACGTTCATTTATGCGTAAACTGACGATATACGTTTTATCTCCACCTATTAAATTTCCAAAATGTTCTCTTTCTTCGCCGGTTTATACTTTTAGAGTGTAGCATATATTGCTCGCATCCAGATTTGGAAACTCGAAATAGAATTAATGGACTAGCGGTAGTGTCGTACCGTAAGTCAATAAAAATAAAGTCTCTAATACTACTTTGCTTTTCGTCTCGTGGAGTATTGAAAGGACCATGATTAACGATAAGTGTCTTCATTAGTTCCGGGCAATAATATACTATACGGAGTGTTCTGAAAATAAGAAGCAATGGCGATGTATTGTTAGGGTAAATGTAATTGACAAACATTGCACACGTTTTTTGAATGGCGAACCCTAGTGAAGTTATTTTTTAGCCGAAGGTCGAGGACCAAAATTAAGATGCGAAATTAATAAGAGAGTTTTCTACTGTTTATGTACTATTTGTTCACTACTACATATTTTTTTAGGAGGACCGAGCTAGACATCTTAAACCTACTTGCACGATACTATTGTAGATAACTAGGCAAGCACGAAAATATTAAAACCAGCGAAAAAGTGATCCGCTCGATTAGCCGTATTGGAATGAAATAATCTCATGGGCATAAAAAAAGGAAATTATGACAAAGTATGGCATTCTCACTAACTAGTATAAATAGCGTAATGCGTGTAAACTGTTCTTTATACGTAAGCGAAATTCTATTCACTTGGAAACAATTGGAACAGCTCGTTTTTTTCTTCAAACATGTGGCTTTAAAAATCATAATAACCATCTATAACCTAAGTCTGCCCTTAGTAATAGTTATTTATTATACAAGACGATAAAGGGATATTTTAACCATTGAGTGAATTAACTTTCACGAGATGGTTAGTTTCCCTTTATCGTCGTGTATAATACAAAACTTTATTTTATAGCAGAAGCCATATAAATCATTGTAAAGCTTCTGACAGTTCTGAATGTAATTTACAGACATCAAAAATAGCAAGCTTAGGTTCTGCCGTCGCGATCGTTTCCATAGAAACAGAATTGTCATATGTTCTGAACGTCATTTTATATCGTGCATTTCAAATAAGAATGACAGATATCATTAGAATGCACAATCATTTGTTTCACTTTATCTACCCTTACGGTTAAGAGGGACCTTTAAAGAAGTTGCCAGATTTTGCCAAGCGCGGCGCTAAAGTCGCTAAAAATCGACATTTTTCATGAAATTTCAGTTAACAGATTCGATTGTAATTATAATGGTAACACCTACCGATTCCCCATAGAGGGCGCCTAAACTTTAGTGCGTTTAAGTCACTAGATATAAAAAGTACCGCAATCAGACTCTCTAAGACAGCAATCATCCGCTATTTTTGGGCAAAATTTGCTATCAACTGTCTCGGGGCTATGCAATGAAACAAGCACAAAATAAATATCATTCTCACTATTTCCACTATTTACGCTCTTCTGTTATACTAATGATAGCAAACGCAACAAATTGAGTGGGTTTCAAAGGGTCAGTTTGGCAACCCTACCTTTGAAAATGAGAGAGCGCACATGTTAACAGCTTCTCTATATGGAGCAATAATGAATCGGTTACCACATACACCCTGTCACAACATGGTAGGTCGATGCCTGAATAACAAACAACTTTACGGATGCCACCGAATATGGGATGGCAAAAGAAAGAGTGGCAATAAATTTATTTGAAAAGAAAACTGGCTTAACCGTACAGTCTTCCGGTTTATGGATTGATGAGGAAACAGAATTTTTAGGGGCCTCTCCTGATGGTAAAATTTTATCGTTGTAATAAAATGGTGTAATTTATTTATATTCCCTTTAGGGTTAATTAATGAAGAAAATGCATTAATTGAAGTCAAATCCTTGTTTTCTGCATCAAAGCTGAACGTCGCACCTATGGTGGAGGTAGTAGACGAAATGAAAAATAAAAAAAAGTACACTTGCTTAAAAAAAGATAACAATGGCGCCCTAGTTTTAAGAAATCACATCCATATTACTACCAGGTAATGTAGTAACTAATCAAAAGTGATTCTTAACCATTCTAATTTCTTTTTCAGATCCAAGGACAGTTACACATTTGCAAAAGATCTGTCTGTTACTTTATAATATATGTTAGCGACAATGTTAAAAAATTAAAAGAATCAGTAGGGATGAAAAACTGTGGCAGGAGAAGTTACGCCAGTTTTATAAGGAATGTGTGGCTCCTGAAATTATTACAAATAATATCGGAAATGGAAGAAAATGCCGAGTTCCTCCATTTATTTTAGATGCTACAATGGCCCATGAAGAGAAAAAATCCCAATTCCTAAATTGGATAGGGCTTAGCTAAATTTATATAATAAATGACTATACGGGGGTTTTGCTTAGCAGGGCAGTATTGCATACGATAATTTTTCAATTTTGATTCTAGTTTCAGAAAAACTTATATGTTAAACTGAATAAAGTGTTTTTCACATCTCCTTCAATTGACACACTCGCTACGCTCATGTGTCAAACTTTGAACTCGAGTTGCACAATTTCACTTTCTTCTCTAATTGTATAAATATTACCCAA